GTAGAGGGGTCTGGCTGTATGACCTGAAGGGGAACAAACTCTGATGGTACCAGGTCAAAGGAAGCTGGAAGTTCAGAGCTGCTCCTGGGAAGCTGCCTTCCAGCTGCCTGGTGGATCCAAACCCAGCTCCATTGAGTCATTTCACACACCCACTTCCACAGATTGCACAGAACTCAGTTTTCCAAATGGAGCTGCTTCTCCAAGTGGAAAGGAATTAATAAAGATTTAGTAAATTATTAGTAAATATTTTAGGCAAAATGTATTTTAGAATGACAGAATAATGTCAGTTGGAATGGACTTTTGGAGATCACCTGATCCAATCCTTTGCTTAGGGCAGCATCAACTTAACTAAGTCAGGTCTTGTTGAGTCAAGTTGTGAATATCTCCAGGGGTGGATATTCCACAGCCTCTCTGGACATCTGTCCCAGCATCTGACTACACGTATGGTTAGTGCTGGGGATGACAGTGAGGACAGCAGAGGATCATTATTGACTCATTAGAATTAGTTTAATCAGGTGTGAGATTCATAAGAGTCCCAGGAGTTAAAACTCCTTTTTGTAAGTTCATAAACCACTTGCAGGTGGGATCTTGGTCCTGAATGTGACTCAGGGGTTGGTTATCCTAAAGTGACAAATTAAGTTTCCATTCTTGAAGTATCTGGAAAACAGTTTGGGTGTTGGAGCACCAACGTGTGTGGGTCCCTGCACTAACCCCCAGTTCACAACAAGCAGGCAGCTGCAGCCTTCCACAGCTCCAGCCTGGGACTGGCACAGCGCCACGGAAAGAACATACACCACCCTCATCCCAGGGAGACAAATGTAGGGAATAAATCTCAGAAACCCTACATTTATTAAAATACAGTGCCCCATTCTACAGAGGGACGTGGAACAAAGCCCTTTGCCACATCGTTGCTGCAAACGCATCCAGGAGCAGCTGAGGTATTAACACAACCGCCAAGTTGGGAATCTGACTAACAAATACATGGAAAATTCCCTCAGTAATATATTCACTGCTTACATATTCAATACTGCTTCGAGCACAGACATTTCTAAATGGTTCCTCAGCTTCATCAGGGTTCCAGTCTCACCCTGGCTCTTGACAGGTCTGCCTCATCTCTGAACAGAAAGAGGAGGTACCCACAGCGTGGAGATGTGCACGTGGCTCCAGAGCAACCCTCAGAGTGACCTGACAGGTGTTTGGAGCAGGATGGCAAGATCTGTATGTACCTCTCCACCACAGAAACCCCCGTGTTGTTCCTGAGGACCTCCCTGAAAGGAGTAATGGATTCCAGCTGATAGCAACCCCTGCAGATGGAAGGGCTGCCAACACTTGGCTGAAACCTTATCATGAGGAATAATGATGAGCTGAAGGAACTCGGGGCTCATCAGCTGACACGTCCTGAGCTTGTGGGAATGACCAGGGCTGACACAGGACTCGCCGAGGCCAAGGAGTGGGGCCCATCTTGCCAAAGGCAGGCACAGCCTCCCACCCTGTGAGCGAAGGGGCTGCTCCCAGAGCCCCGCTCTTTCCTCTGAAGCACCCCCAGGTGAAATCAGTGACTGTGCTTTTACACCTTCCATGTCCCTGTTCAGAGCACTGTCCCCACTTGTAAAACGCAGCTTTCCAACCAGCTGCGCTCTCAGATGATTTAAGATGCATCTGTGTGGTGAACACTGACAGCTTTCATAGCTGTCCATAAGGGAGTTTGTTCCTTCCAGGCACCAGTAGGAAGTTGGTTTTACACTGGGCTGAATTCAGGTCTCAAACACAAATTAAATCTGCAGCAAAAACCAATACAGTGTTTGAGGCCAGAACTTGGCCTACTGACCCTGCTCATCTGAATGCTATTTCTGAGGGGATAATGATGTATTATTCTTCCTTTTTGACAATTACTCCTTCACAGATAATTTTTGGAATTTTCTGTGCCATTTTTCTGTGATGTTGCTCTGGTATCCTGGATACTTCGCTGTAAAATCCTGTGCTCCTGTCATGCCATTATAGTTGCCTAAAGCAAGTTTCTTTATTCCTTTTTTCTGCTCTACCTTTCTTTTTGGCTCTTTCCTGTATTCTGCCACCACATTAACTTCATTTGTGTAACCAAGAAAATGAAGAATTCTACTGAATCCTGAAAGAAACCTTTGTGTATCATGAGTTTTCTTCTCTTATTATCCCACTACTTTACAAACTGCTACTTCAGCTTTTACTCAAAGGATCACCCCTCAGCCTTCTATATTGTACAAAGTTATCTATTTTTAGCCCTTTCCTTTTTAAACCTCTCCCTGTATGGTATTATTCACAAGTTTGACTGTTACTACCTTTGCTCTGTGGATGCTCCAAACCAGGTGCCTCCTATTCTAGTCTGGAGAGAGAGTATGAAGTGGGTCTGTGATTTATCCTTCTGATATCTCCTTATCCCTGGCCAGTCACTGACAGAACATGCACAGAGTTCTGCATTTTGTTGTCCCTTCTGTGTCAGTGGAGGGGCCTGGCAGATTGGTTACATCACACTGCCCAAAACCACCAAGGAAAGGGCTCTCTGTGCTGACCGTGGTGGAGATGCATCCTGTGCCTCGTGGCACTGCCTGGAACACCATCCTGGGCCTGGAAAGCAAGTCCTGTGGAGACATGGCCCTCCGAGAGAATGGAGTTGGACAATGGGACCCATTTCAAAAACAGCCTCCCAGACACCTGGGCCAGAGAGCAGAGCATTGAGGGGCTGGATCACATTCCCTGTCCTGCACCAGCCTCTGGGAAAGCTGAACGGGTACAATGGGCTGTTAAAAACCACATGGAAAGGATGGATGGTGGGACTTCAAACAGCAGGATCCACATTTAGCCAAGGCCACCTGGTCAGTGCACACCAGCAGGACTCCCATGGACAGGGAGGATGGACTGCTCCAGATGCAGCTGTCAGGAGCTCGTGATGCAGCTTGAACCACCCCACAGCACCCCAGCCCTCCTGCCCTGGAAGACACCCAGGACAGACAGACCCCCGAGTCCTGGACAAAATGAACTCAACAGGGCTCTTGGAAGGAACAGCCACTGACTGTGGAATTTTTTTTTTAATGTGGAATCTTCACTTCTGGCTAAGCTTTGGGATGTAAAAGTGTTGAACTCAAGTCCTGGCCTTGAGCTGAATCTCAGTGAAGCCCATATGGAGGAGGAGAAGGCTGAGTGAACTGTACAGCAGAACACTGAAACAGCCACAACTGAACAAGGTAGAGGAGAACAAACTGCAGTGAACTTAAAAGAAAACAGCACTAATTTCTTTCCTAATAATTTCATATGCAGGTTTTATGTAAATTAATAGTTGCTTCCTGCATTTCTGGACTTGCTTTAATGTTGAAGAGCACCTATAGTGATAGATGTATTTTTATTTTTCAACTGTTGCTTACACGTTTCTACATCTGTTTGGAAACATGGTATTTTTAACAAGTTCCAGGCAGTAAAAACTGTGATCTGTTCCCATAAACACTGGTTTGCTTAGAAGTCTCTTCAAGTCCTGCTCCTGCTCCTATAAACCGCTTTTAAAATAAAAACTAAAAACTTCACGGTTTAAATCCCAGGGATTCCTATTTTAATTGCATCTAGGTAAAAAGGGAGTAACTCTGCTGACTTGCAGCACTGTAAAGGAAGCACAGGCAGAATCAGAGCCCTCGCTAGGTTGTGCTGATAAACACATTTTCCACACACATACTCTTGGATGGTATAAAACTGGAGAATCCCCTTGAATTTGGCAGGGAAACTTGAGAAAGGAGTCCACAGTATTAGAAAGCTGAGAGCCACACACGTGTCCAAAACAGCCAGCTCTTTGTAGAGCTTAGCAAAATATTTTGTCTCCTTGAGTTGAGATTTCTCACTCATCCTTCAGTCATCTGTGATGGTCACAGAAATAGGCTGTGCAGGAACAAGTTCTGCCTCAACAAACCCCGCCTGTGCCTCGGTTCCCACTGGCTGTGGAGAGCTCTCTTTCCATGGTAAATGGGAGCAGCATTTATTTTTCACTCTGTTGGTCTACCAAGCAGGAAGGAATCTGTAGATTTCTAAATCTACAAATGTAGATTTAGATGTACAAAGCAAAGGCAGCAGTACAGTATAAACTACCAGCTGTACCTCGGTGCTGAAATCAAGGCAGGCATTTATCATCACCTGCAAGTGTTCTGGACAGCACTGAGACAGATCCACCCTGGAATGGGCTGTGCCTGTGAGTTTGTTGAGGGTGTGTTCAGAACTGACCACTTCTTAGCATAAGGGACACCCAGGATTTGGCTCCTTGCTTTGCTTTCCTTAAGACCCGTGAAATACAATAATGAACTGATTTACTGTGCAGGAGAAAACGGGGATTTGATAAATTAAATGTGTCATTGTGCTTTAAAATAAACAGAACCCTCCGCGTTCTTTGGATTTCTCTGAGTGTTGTGGGTGTTGACAATGTTTGTGAGTCAAAGGGATTTCAACCATCCACGGGAGGGACAGACCCAAAGGGTCTCCCCCACACTGCAGAACACTTTGTGATGACACAGGTGCTCTGCTGGATGGCAAAGGGAAAACCCTCCATATAAAGAACATTCCCAACATTACCTTGTCCTGGTTCTAAAGGGGATCCTCTGTTTTTTGTGCACTTTGAAAACCATCTTACTTTCCAAATGATCATGACTGCATTTAGGAATGAACAGCTCTTTGCTGTTCAACCTGGGAGCACTAAGCCTGGACAGAAATATGTTCTGGATCATGAAACATGTCCACTATGAAAGGGTTTGTGTCATTTAATTGCCTACAGTGACAGGGACTACACGAGTTGAGCAAAAAGTCCATTCCTGACCCCTGTGTCATCCCTGTGTCCCCTTTCCCGGGCCAGTATCAGTCTGTACCAAAATGTCCTTCCTCCAGAGAAAGATTCCTTGTACATTATTATTCCTGTTTGCTCCAAACCCCACAATGGTTGTGGCACTTCGACCACAGGTACTGTTTATACACATGCACTTAAATATCCTAATAAAGGAAAATTATGGAGGTTACACCCTTAAATTTATAGTGGGAGAGGGAAATGGCTTTAACAAACTGGGAATTTGGAGTACTGTAAGTCCTGACCAGGAGAAAGCTGCTGGACACAAACCAAGGGGACAGATCGTGGAAATGGGCTCTGTGAGTAGGATCAGCATTGGGGACGAATGGGGAACCACGGGCCCAGTGTGGAAAGGGAGATTTGGCACTGGGGGAAGTTTTGATGAGAGTCAGAAAATAACAACTGAGAGACCAGACCAGAATTTCAGTTCCAGCGAGGCCGAATTTCAGAGAAAGGTGGGACTTCCAAGAAAACGGGCAGATGGTCACTGGAGATAGGAGGGAGCATGGGAGCTGTGGTTGTTTTGACTCCAGGCTCTCAGCCAGGGCTCCAGCTGATCCCGGTGGTTCTGGGGGAAGGTCCCTCTGCCAGGAGCCCCCTGGCACAAAGGGGTGTTGCTCACCCTGCAGGTGGTTCTAAATGCCCAGACGGCAGGGAAGGGACCTCACAGAGTGCACTTACACAGGGAAAACGCTGGGGACAGAAACGTTAGGAATGTGAAAACACCACTCTTAGCAGGAATTTCTATTGGCTGCATCACTACTGTAAAATACAACTGCTGGCAGTGCTCTCCTGGCTTTCCATCTAAACCAGGGCCATGGCATCTCCCAGCAGGGAGCCTCTACAGCATGAAGGTATCTCAGGAGAGGAAGATCAAAGGTGCAGGTTGGCACACAGGGAGCAGCAGGAGATTTGAAAGCATTTATTTGTCCTGGTTTAAATCTTGGTTGATCTGTGTTGGAGGACACTTGCACCTAACACAGTAGTTTCCAGCCATGCTTTAATGCCAGGCTTTTCCCAGAGAAAACGCAGAAATTTTAGGATTTCCCTGATAAGTTTTAACACCTCTTCTGATTCTAAAAAAATTTGAAACAGGGAAATAACAGAAAATTTAAACCCCAGATGCTTAAAGGGAGGAAAAAAGGAACTGCATAAACAGCAGTGTCTTCTTGACACCAAGAGGGTGTTCACTGGCATTCCTGGGGAGGTGTCATTTGATGTTCTGAGTAATTCAGATGAGCAGTGTCTTCCCTGGTATTTTTGTGACTTTCTGGCCCTTTCACTTTCATTTTGACCTTCCAAGTAACTACAGAGATTTCCTACTGGGGGGTTCCACAGCTGACTCATGGGCTGGCCCTACTCTGTGGGGCAGGTGCTGAGGGGAGTCCCAGCTTTCATTCCACTGTTACTTTTCTAACATGAACAGTGGCAGCTTCAGGAGATGTGTTCTTGTACATCTGGAACAAATGGTCCAATTACCAGATTTTGAGAAACAAAAATAAGTTACAAATACAAGCAGGCGAGAGATTTACAGATAATGAAATACTTTATATCTCCATGAAATACTTGATATCTCAAAGCCAACGTAATGAAAAGGGGGAAGTTGGGGCAATACTGAATGTTAAAAAGGCAAACATGTTGAATCAGGTGGCCTTTATCTCTCTCAGAAATCTTACTGCCTTCCTCTCCTTGGCACTTCCTTCAAATACCCTTCCAACCCCCTGAGGCACAACATGGGACAAAGACCTTCAATGAAAAAAACACCCAAGTCCTGCAATGACAGCAATGAAAAGCAGGTTTTCTGGGGTCTGTGGTGCAGTGGCTGCTGCTCCAAAGGGTTCCCTGACAGAGACCATCTGAACATCCCAGGTCACACTCTAAATGCCTAACATGGATATGTAAGGAAGCAGAGCCAATAACAGGCACTTACTTTGGAAATCAGGAAGTACATCTGCAATCTTCAGACCTTTCTGGAGGTTCAGTGATCTCCTGGAAGGTGTTTTCTGGGAGTGCAAGGACTTTTATTAATGCTCTTCACAGTGAACTGTGGGATGAGGGAACTCTGCTTCAACTTCACAGTTACATCTGCAAAAATAATTCCATAGGAATTAACCCTTTTTAACTTAGCCTGGATTTAATTTCTTTGATAAGTGAGCAGTAACACTGTTATTAAATGATTTTGACTCTGAATCTTCTCTGAAGGAAGGGATGTATGTGTGTTGTACTTCACTTCAGTTTACCAGGCTCTAAATATCTGTACTGTAATTGGTTACTGTTTGGTTGTTGTTGGTTTTTCTATTTCACATTAAGTTTAGAATCTCTTTTTAAAGTCTGTTTATTTATCCCTCTCCTCCTGGTTTGTGTATAGAGCTGGCTTTAAGGCTAGCTGGAAGCTAAAAGGTGTGTTGCAAATGCATTTGCACAGATGCCATGGTCTCATTCTATTTGTCCTATTTAAAAGTATTTATCTGGTACCAAATCAGCACCTCAGTTCATCCAAAATTAGCCAGGAGAGAGAGAATCCAGGGAAGTGATGGTACCTGTCAGTTCTGGCACTTTCTTAACTGTGACACCTCTGCAAAGTTTGTTTGCAGTCATTTCCTTTTATTAAATTTAAGTGCTTGGTTTTCCAAAGCAAATATAGTGAACTGAGGGATTTGGCAACTGCAGCTACCAAGGTCACTTTTGGGAAAATGTGATTCAGTCCTGATTAAAGACAGATCTGAGGGGGGAAAAGGGAAAATCAGGCACTGAAGCCCAAGATATTTTCTGCATATCCTCAGAACTGTGTATTGCTTATTCCAGGGGAGGAATTCAAGTGTTACTTCTGTTAATCATGGAATTATTTCCCATTAAGAAAACTCGTGTGATTTGTGCAACCTTAAGTGAATGTAGGAAGGTGATAACTTTACATACCACCTGTTAAAACCGATATCCATCAGTAAAAACCAAAGCAGTGGTGCTTGTTGTTACTGTGCCCTGTGGATGGAAGGAAAATGGGACAGACAGGACCAGGTGTGGGCAAAGCCCTGATATTTGTGCCTGCAGTGAAGCCCCTCCCGGTGACACCGGACAGGGGATAAATATTAGTGAGGAACTTCAAGCCCCAAGAAAGAAAAGGGACCATGTTGAGAGGTCAAGTATGGTGGGTGCTCCCCTGAGCTGCATTCAGTGATGAACAATGAGGGCCTAATGAGGACGAGAAAATATCTACTCAGACTTTTTATGCATCATTAGTCAAGCCAGTGGGTATTATGGTTGAACTAAAAAAGAAATAAAAAATCAAGGAAAACAAACTAATTTTGGATCAGCCCACGTTTTTTTCATTTTCTCCCCAGCAAAACAATAAACTGAAAAGAGGGCTGAGCAGAAACAAAGCATTTTGTCTTCAGTTTGTTTTGTCCCTCTTTATTTTAGTTGTTAAATCTGAAGGGGAACATTGCTAGTTTTGTTCTGCAAATGAAACGCTGAGTCTTTCCCAAATATATTTGCTTTCTGAATGTTTTTTCGGAAACCATTTATTAAATTTGACCCAATTTCATAAATATTTTTGTTCTCCATGATGTGTTGAACTCGTTCATCACCTTCCCCATTGCCAGTATTTTGTTGCCCAGGAACAAAGACCACTGATATTTTCTCCTGTTATCCTCTTACCTGAAATGCAGGATGCCTCACCACCAACACACCTGAGTGTTTTCCATCTTCAAAAATGCCCTCCACAAAACCTCCTCCTTTCCCTTTTCCTCCCTGGGGAGCAACGACGTGAAATCTGTGTAGTGAAAGATATGAATGTGGTGACACAGCTGAAAAAGGTGAGGGTGAAGGGGTGGTTCTTGCGTGTGATCCCAAAAAAGGTGAGGTATTTGCCCACCCTGTCGGAGGTTCCTCCTCCAGTGATCAGTGGGGAGTGCAGCTGGTGTGACCCCTCCCAGACACACAAGTTACTCTGAGGAAGCACCAACCTGACACAGATTCCACAGTTCAACGTTCAGTTTTTCTGGCTGGTCCCAGATAGGAGGATGAGAAGTATTTTAAAGCCAAGGATAATTTGGACAGCTGCTCTCTGTAAAGTCAGCAAGATCATTACAAGTCTGCTATTAGTTTGACAATTGAAAGCCACACATCCCACAGGAGGACACAAAAAAAAACGCCAGTTCATTTATTTTGTGAAGCCTTTTCCCTCCTTTCAGACAAATGATCTCAAACTTGCCCAGGCTGAGCTTCAGTTAATTGTTTTGCCACCCTGAGCAGTTCTGAATTCAGAGCAAAGAGGATGATGCCTTGCTCTGCTCCTGAGGAGGTTCCCTGCAGACACTGGATGAGCCAGAGCACAGAACAGGGAGTGCCTGGAGATGGAGGAAGGTTCCTGTGTCCACTCGGACTCACCCACACATCTCAGCTCAGTTCCCATGTAAATGAACTCAGAAGTACAATGTTGAGTGGCTAATTACTTTTAGACTCCTTTGGGGAACCCACCAAGATCTCAATGAATGTGCAGTTCCAGGCAGTGAACAGACAGAATTAATCCACTGGTTTGCTCTAACAGGGGACCTAGAAAGAACAATTACTTACACTGCTGTGATTGCCCTTCCTCAAGGTTAAATTCTCCATACAGATTCTGTTGTTCCTCACATGAGATGATTTTTCTCTGAAGAGCAGTGAAAGCTGTTACAGGAGCTCTCCACCTATTTGTTTTTCTAAATTAACAATATTTGGTTTGGGTAATGATAATGATTTTTGTTTTTCATTAGTGGCATCTTTATCTTTCATAAACCACACGTTAAAAAACCCTTAAAAAATTAAAGAACCAAAAAATAGTTGACTCAAATTCTGCACTCCTAAAAATGCAACTTTTTGTAGGTCAGAAGTAGCAAAGTGGATGTACTGCAGATAAGATCTTTGCTGTGAAATACTGCAATTCGTTATAATCAATTCTCTGTTCAAAGTAGCTCCAAGACACAAAGAAGGCTGAGGAAGTTTACAGGGACATAATGCATGTGTGCATTCAGGAGAATGATCAGTCACTAACAATACAGCAGAAGATGCTTTATTTAGCTCTTTCAAGCAAAGGGAGCTGAGGAATGTAACAGTAATTGTCTCATTTTCCAACCAGATTTTCAAAGAAATTGTGCCTTCATTAATGATCTCAGACTCTCTCGTTTCTTCACACTGGGGCTGTTGAAGGGCCCAGATCAGATCTGAGCAGGTGTTTATGTCTCTCTTCAAGTGTTCAGAAGGCTTTGCTGTCCAAATACCATTGGGGCTCCGATTCCTCTCCTGTACTGTCAGCTCTGCTCCCGGGAATTCCTTTTAATATCTTTTTGGTTTTCTCCTTTAGGTCGAGAGGATTGTAGACAAAAGGAAGAACAAGAAGGGCAAATGGGAATATCTTATCAGGTGGAAGGGCTATGGAAGCAATGAAGACACCTGGGAACCTGAACATCATCTCCTGCATTGTGAGGAATTCATTGACGAGTTCAACAGACTCCACGTGAGCAGAGAAAAGAGATCCAGGCACGGCAAACAGCCCAGCACGGCCAAACTGCTGCGGGAGAGCCGAGGCTCATCCGTCGAGAAAATATCCCACAGACCTTCTGACTCTGGGAAGTCGAAAGGATCAACACACAAAAGGAAGAGGATTAATCCATCTCACCAAAAACAGAAACGAGGCTACGCGGCCAAGCCGGGCTCTGCCGGTGACAGGGCTGCTAAAACCGTGACTTACCGAACTACTCCCAGCGGCTTGCAGATCATGCCACTGAAAAAGCCCCACAATGGCCTGCAGAATGGAGATGGCAGCCACGAGAAGGATTCTAGACATTTTGGGAATGGCTCACAGCAGCAAAACACGGATTTAAATGATCACGAGGGAGAGCAGAATTTGCCCGGCGTGCTGGACGTCAGTCCCGACCCCCCCGTGGTGAATGGAATTGGTATGTGATGGAAACCGCTCGGCCCTGGGGGAGGGGGCTGTTCCACTCCTGTTGTTGGCACACAAGGGGTACGGTGAGAAGCACCCAAACAAGTTCCACACTCTTTCCCTATAAATTATACATGTTTTTGTCAGCTGGTTTCCCCCTTGTCCCACGGAGGGACACGGAGCAGTGTGGGCTCTGTCACGTGCCTTTGCAGTGTAAACCCCTGTGGGGACACGAGGACAGGGCTTGGAGCAGGAATGACAGCTGAGGGGTGTGTAAGGCTGCAGCTCAGGGTTTCTGTATCAAACTTAGGTCTACAAAAACCAGAACTGTTTTAAAACCAGATATACAATATATTTAACACCACTCTTGGTGAAGGGTCCTGGCAGGGATGGCTGAGTGAGATCCACGTTCTCAGTGTTAATGCTGGTCATACTCAGGAGTCCTCAGAGCAGCCAGGTCCTTGTCCCTGACACTGACTGGACACACCCCAAGTCACAAAGACAGAGGTCACAGGAAGGTACAAACAGCCTTGAAGGGAACCAGAAGAAATGGGAGGAATTTCTTTCTAATCCTCACAGTAACTGACTGGCTTAGCTCTCAAAGAATAAGGTTTATGTTCTCTATAAATACAACTCAGCTTCATGCAAATGAAGTCGCTTCTCATTATCTATATGTGTCCAATCTTTGTGGTTTGTTTATTTTTAAATTCGACCAAATTTAAAGCCTCAGTGGTGTTTCGTGACAGCAATTTCCAGGAGTCAACAATGAGATGCACGTTTTATTTGATCAGATTTTGGTGTTTGGGTCTTGCTGGGGTTTTATTGACCTTTACTTTCATTGAACAGCCTCTTTTCCTGCTATGAAGAGACAGAGTGGAGGAGACCCTGCCCATTATTGGCAGCCTCAGCCTTTTCCTCCTTCCTACCTGGAAGTCTTTCCAGATTCCTGGTAGTTTTGAGTATCCTCTTGTGCCTTTGGTGTCTGGGGGGGTTTTTTAATACCTTTTAAAAACAGCAGGAGCTGTTCCAAATGACTTCCTACCGCTTACTGATACAGTGACAATAGAACCTTTGGAGAATTGTTTTTTCTGCTGTTCCACACTGCATAAAGGTTTGCATTGAGTGATCCACAGTTGCTCCTGGGTTTTTTTTTTAACTTGCTTGTTACAGTTAATTTAGAACACAGCTATATGTATGATCCCTTTCATTATGCATTTAATCTGCTTTACTGTTGCCAGTTCACCTTTCTCTTATGACTCAGTGAAGCTCTTCAAAATCTTTCCTAGTTTTCACTCTACTCATTTTGTATTGCCTTCAAATTTTCCTCTCATACTTCTCTTCCCAATTCATTAATACACACATTAAATAAACTAATCCTCCTGCACATCCTTGGGACAGCCAACTACTAATCACCTGACTTGATGAAAAGTAACCATTTGTTCCAATTATTTATTTTTATTAGCCACTCTCCAGAGCCCATGATAGCACTCATTTCCTTAACAGCTTCTTGTGAATTGCCCAGCCAAAAACTTTTCAGAAGTCAACATAAATTATATCTCCCCATTTTCCACCCTCCTGGCAACCTGGGAAATGCTCCTGGATTTGGGAAGTAGAAGTGACCTTGCCTAGTTGTACTGGCTGTATCCAATAGCCACTGGGATCTTTCAATCCAGGCATCAGCTATGCTATTAAAAGACTCCCAAACCAACAGAATGTGTGGTCAGCTTTAAATGCATAAACACCCCTGCTGATGTCAATGAAATTTAAAGCTGAAACACTTAAAAGTGTATCTTGGCTTTTGTGTTGTGTGGAGTTTGAGCTCATCTTAGACTGCTTAACAAGTTACTGCTTCTCTGAGATGACTTGAATATCTAATTACAGATGTGTGTAAAGTTATTTTCCTTATTTTTCTTACTGCTTCTAATGAAGTTTTTTTAATCATTTGGTTTATGCTGTCCATGGAGAAGTTCTGATACAAAATGCATCTTTAAAATTCATTCATTCCATGTTTTAAAATGGGTGTTGGTTTTTTTTCCACAAAGAACTAAAGAGTCCCAAAGAACTGTAAGGTCAAACAGGAGCTCAGGAATGGCCCCCACCAGCCCTGATGGAATAATCCCTGTCAGAGAGCTCAGCACAGGCAGAGTGGGCAACACGACAGAGGGGAGAGGAGACTGCCAGAGTCAGAGCAGACAGAAACTGGGGAAGGAGGGTCAAAATCAAATTACCACCTTTTTTCCTAATAGTGCCCTACAAGCCACATTTCCTGCTACAGGGGGTTGTATCATTTGAAATGTCAACTCTTCAGCAAGTGCTACAATTTCCTTCCTCCCTGAGCATTGACACTCCCATGGAAGGTGCCCCATCATTGTCAGGCTCCCTTGGCATTTAATGCCCCACTAACACCGGGCTGAAATTTTACAAATTCCAAACAAAGGAAGTTTCGGAGGAAAAAAAAAAAAAAAGCCAATTGGTTGAAGAACAGAAATTTTGTTCCGAACATCTTGGGTTTCAAAACTTTCTCCAAATCTGAGCCAAGGGCCCAGGGCTGTGTCCCCTGGGACAGGGAGCAGTGTGGCAGCCTGCTTGGCAGGACTCCCACGCTGAGCCCGGAGGCAGCCAGCTCTGCCAGAGGTTTCAGGCAGTCTGCCACGGAGTCTGGAAGTTGAAAGCCTGGCATGCTCCATCCACACTCACAGGGCTCCCAGGCAGTAGATGTGGAACAAAGAGGGAGCCTGGAGGACCTGGTTTGGCTCCCAGAAGCTGTGGCTGCCGGGCAGCCCCGCTCGGAATCGGATGGAGCAGACATTTGTGTCAGCTTTGAGATTGCCTGGTATGGAAACCAAGTGAGTGTCAGGCTCCTTTCACAGCAAACTGTGACAGTGCACAGAAAATGTGTATAGAGATTTTAGGTTTGTCTTGGAAAACTCAGCAATTCCCCCCAGTTTGAAAGCCCAGCTGTGGACCCAGCTCTGCTGCCAGGGTGGGCTTATGGTTGAAGGTCTCCAAAATCCACCCACTGGAACCAGTTATAATAATAATAAAAGTAATGTTTAACCAGCAGTGTATTGAACCAGGCAATATAGATGGTAATTTCTAATCTAGAAGTAATCAAATAATGGCTGTGCTGTTTGTCTGTCCTTGCCAGTTGTGTTGAAACAAATAACAGCTATTTGAAAACCCTCTTTTGGTGACTCCTTGAATGAGCTTCCACCAGTCAACTTGTGTTTTTGTGCACATCCACTTGGCTACAAGTGGTTCCCCTTCACCCTGCAGACAGAATTCCCAGCAGGCAGCTCCTTGCCCCAGAAAGGTGACTGTGTCCCTACAGGTGTGTGCACAAAAGGATTGATGCCCCCAGTGCAGGTCTGGAACCTTCCTGAGGGTGGGATCTCCCTCGCCCAGACCTGCCTTCTGCACATCCTGCCATAAGAGAGCAGAGTCATCTTTACTGACAGTTATTTAATGGTCTACAAATTGGAAGATGTTGCAGCATCCCCTGATGCTCCCAGGAGCTAACAATGCTGTTCTTTCTGATGATATTTGTTGTCTTCTGTTATCACTTTTCTGTTTCTCTCCAGATATTGTAATTGAGAGTGATTGTTTTGTCAAGTTTCTTGACAGCATCAAAAAACATCCCCTTTTAATTTTCTCTTTCCTTTTTCTGCATTGCTCTATTTCTGTACCATCTGCTGAAGAATTTTTGCCTGTCATGTATCACTAACCACTGTTTTTCCCCATTACAAAAAATCTTTGTAGTCTCATGGTGCCCTTCATTTAAATACTCTCTGTGACTTAGTCACTGCTTCCTCTTGTTTTTTTAACTTATTCTGGTTTTTATTTATTCTGAAAGAATACTGGCAGTAAAGGACAACCAAACATTCCTGCTCCCTCAGTTTGGATGAAAACTCATTGCTTTTAGATATCTTACAGATGCTACTTTAGCTGGAGAAGTCTGAAATTATTAGTAAATTATCAACAGAACACAGCTTTTAAGTATGTACAGTATTAACCATTACCCACAAGAAAGACAGAGAAGAGACAGAGAAAGGCTCTTGGGAAGGCTGAGGAATGCCAAGCTGCTTTTCCAGGGAGACTGAGGGTTTACTTCACCTGGAAAAATTAAAGCCCCATCCTCCATCACCCTCTTCCACTCAGCACAATAAAACAACAGTCCAGCTCTCCTTCCCAGGGCATCCTGATTGTTATTCCCATCCCTCCCTCTGCACCGCTTTTAGCATTTTTGGGGCTCCAAGGTGAAGCTGAGCTGGTTGAAAATTAAGCCCAGTTTTGCAGGGTGAGTTTGCAGCCAGGGCAGATCAGCAGCCCAGCCCCCAGGGTGGGTGCTGTGTGGGGTGGGGGCTCAAACTGGAACACTGGGATGGAACACTCAGCAAAGAGGGATCTGGAAACAACAGCAGCTCGAGGGATCCTGTCCTAGGGGGCAGGAGCAGTGAGGGGGGGGAGTCCCAGGTCCCCTAAATCATCGAGGATCATTGGGATCTTTTCTCTCTTTCCTCTCCCACTCTTTGGAGACTTTTTAGACAGTAAATTTTGAATGTTTGCAGCAGTGCCTGGTGTAAAGGAGCCCCAAAGGCTCCAAGCCTGTGGCAGTGGTGGAAGATGCAGGGATGGGCAGCTAAAAGGAAGAGGATTGCAGGAATACAAGAGCCTTCAGGCAGGAGAGGGGGAACACGATCAAAGTTTACAAACCATCAAGGCCTCAGATACAGTAAATGCAGAACTGCTGCTCCTGAAATCCCTCGACAGCAGAACGAGGGACCACTCACTGAAACTGGGGGCACATCAGATAAAAGCAGAGATGAAAGAAAATTCTTCTCTGTGTAGTGGCTACACAACTTCTCAAGCTCATCCCACAGGAAGCTGTGGAGCCAGAGAGCTCAGAGGGGATTAGAGAGACACATGAAAAGGTCCACAAGCAAACAGTGAAGGAACAGGAAGGATGAAGCCTCTCGTGTTCCTGCACATCACTTGAGGATGATGCTATGGGAATGGACTGCAGAAAGTGCCCAAGCTTGCATTTTCTCCTTAAATAGCATCCTTTACTCCAGCCTTTACTGCCATTCCTGGAGAGGGATTACTGCACCCACCAGTGGTCTGGGAATATCTCAGATTCCCTTAAAAGAATATCGAAATTCTTAGAAAGATCAGTGTTGGTTTGGGTAGTCCACAAGTTCTACTGCTGATTATAAGGTAATAATCAGGTTAAACTCTGACTAAAGGAAGGAATATTTTCTCCCATTCTGTTTTCTTTTTGTACTTTGAGCATCAAATAGTCACTACTAAGCCAGTAAACCACACTTAGAGTACCCAAAGCTTCCTTAGTTAATTTGTGGCATCAATAATCTGTTTCCCATGCAGTCCAGGTTGTTTTGAGATGTCTCTTTTTGCCTGTCATGGTTGTTTTTCACCCTGACATACCCAGGGGCTGCTGCCCTTGTGTGCATTAATGTGCAGATAGTTAAAATATCATGATAAGATCTACAGTCTACATCATATATTCATTTACAAACAGAATACATAAGGAAGAATAAAACAAAATATTAAAATAATTACTGTGAGGCTTTCTGTTGAGCTGGATTATGTGTGTGAATTAATCTTCTACTATTCTCTTACCATCTGTATTTAAAATAGATGTGACATAATCTTCCACACTACAGAGATAATCAGTATAGTTAGTCTGACACACCTTCCATTCAGTGGGCATTTGTGCCTCTGATTTTATAAGTTCTCTATACTTCTTGGGGAGATTTCACTCATCACATCTGTTCTAATATTCATGTCATCTGCCCTTTAAAAGTTCTTGGCTATTTGAAACCAGAAGCTGGAACAGGTCAGCTTTGGCAGGAGCAGAGAACAGAACAAACAAAGGTGTTTTCATTCAGCTCTCTCTTGGCCTTTCTTAAAAATGGAGTATTGTGGCCTGGTGTCTGTTTAAACAAAAAACAGTGACTTTAATCTGTGTCCCTCACCAACCTGTCTGGGCTTTATTTTGAATGGCAATAGTGTGAAACATCTGTAATTAGAAAAGGATTATTGCATACAAATCCTGTAAAGCTCTTTCAGCACCCCATCCCAGCACTGTGACCAGTTGTCCTCTCTTCCCTGTTGCAGAGGGACTGGAAAGCTCAGCAGAGGAACGGTTTGCAGTTCACTGTGCAAGTCAGAATAAACTCTCTTTTAATACTGACTTAATGTTACTCTCACTTGTTTTTAAGGAGGAATTATATCTTTCTTCTCACTGTTCTCTCTTTTCCTGCTGCTGGATACTCTCCAAAAATGGCATCAGCATTAGCATTTTCTGTGTACAAAGTCCAGTATTAATATCATAGTTGTTAGTCAGAAGTCATTAATTACTGTTACTGTCCAGTGTGAGGAGCAGAGGCTTGGGATCAGAGCAGAAAGGGTGGATAAGTGCTGCTTGGAATGCCAGCCACCAGGATAACTGGAAGAGAATGCTGGTTGGGTCAGCTTGGTGAGAGCTCCCCAAATTCAGCGTCACACAGGGATGTGCAACGAGGGTGTGCATCTGAGCCTGCTAATGACTGGTCAGCAGAAAGGGAAGAAAATCTGCCTTTGAAAGATGAGATTTGGACTAAACCTGTCATGTCAAGTGTCCAAAGCTGAAACAGAATCTTCCTATAAATCCAGGGATCACCCCCAGTTCACGTGAAAGACTGTGGTACAGTTGCTTTCATGTTCAAAGCAGAACTGAATCCCACTACAAGTCCCAGGTGCTACAGTTCATTGGATCTAGAGGTTTTCTGATCAGAGAACAGAAAGTTCTGCATGTTGGAATACAGAATAAGAGGAATGGCTCGAGGCCACATTTGACTAGCCAGGCACATTTTTATTTATTTTCTATTTATAGAAAATATATATTTTATGTTCATTTCTCCTTGCTGAAGCTAGTGGGGTAGCGCTCCACTTCTCTGATGGTGTAGGGGTAATTGTGCTTCGATTCTTTCCATCTGAAAGGTTCTTCTCTGGCCAATGGAAGCCTCAACCTGCACAGCACTGTGAAAAGGAAACTAGATGGGGAGAAGGATTATGTCTTCGATAAGAGACTGAGGTACAGCGTGAGGCAAAACGAGAGTAACTGCCGGTTCAGGGACATTGTGGTCCGGAAAGAAGAAGGTTTCACACACATTTTGCTGTCAAGTCAGACTTCAGAGAACAATGCACTGACCCCAGAGGTAAGTGTGCAGCCCTGAAAGCCAAAGAAAACCATCCTAAAGAGTGGGTTATATCTTGGAAACGCTGCACTTGAACTCGATTTTTAGGTGCTTTTTTCCCTAATAGATGATCTTAGAAAAACAAATGCAGAGTTCAGACATATCTAAGTTTGTCACGCTTGGGATTCCCATGACAGAGAATGCAGTGGAAATTAAAATTTTAATTCACATGTCTGAAAACCAAAATGAGAAGTAAAGAATGGCAGAATGAGTATCTCCAGCGTGGAGTTGTGTGAAGCAGCTTTGCACGTGTTGCAGTTACTGATATTTCCTATCCTTGGGAGAAATTTGGTCTTTTCTATTTTGCTAATTGAAATAGTGCTCCAGGTGTTGCATACAGAGAATTCCAGGCCATATCCTCAGACAGTCATTCTAAATTCTGCCTTGATCCCTAATTACTTTTTCTCTGAATCACTGTATGAGTCCTTATTGATGGAATCTTAACCAACTGGGGGCTCAATCCTCAGCTGAACTGCATAAAGTCTTACAACACATAAAAGATATTAAAGAATTCCCTTCTTCCCAAAATTGTACACTTAAGGTCAGACTCAGACTTGTGGATTGTACTCTCCCACTACACACCTGGATCAGTGGAAGGGCTGAGCAGCTTTTCCTTTCACTCCCTGTGATCCCAGAGCAGTGAGCTGTGTGCCCTGCTGTGCCAGCCCCGTGCCAGAAGAAAAGGGGTGTCCAGAAATGCCTGTGTCAGGATGTATGACCTGCAGAGAAGGGAACATGCCTGAGTCCTGTTCCCCAGGGGCACTGATGAGTGTCTGAGGTGTCACTTTGAGCACCACCTGAGGGAAGAGCAGTTTGTAGCTCTGAGGGATCATTTTGTTCAATAAGAAACTGAGGGGTCCTAAATTTGACTCACCTTCCCAAATGGACATTCATTTAACTATTTAGCATCATTCAGTGTATTGCTGTTAAAACTGATGGCACATACATTTAGCACTCCTATAATATTTAATATTTAGAAGGACTATCTTGGTCATTATCACAGAACACCAAACACTTGTTATTAATACTAATTCCTTAAAATGCATTAGATTGCATCAAATCCATCATTCCATCCCTGTCTTAATTACCACTAATTGACACTGCAGGGCCTGAAAAAGTATGAAATCAAGGGCTGTGTTCAGGCTGGGCAGACAGACCTTTACCTTGCTGGCTGTTCCACATCAGCGGTGCTCAAATGCTCTAACCAGGGGATTAATCCAGGCTCTTCAGGGCTGCCAAACCAATCCATTTCATCCTTTGAAAGTTTTCAATAGGCTGGGAACTCACCTGTGTGGAAGAATAAATGATGAGCATGTAAACAGTCCTGTCCCTGCAGCACAGCGTGGACCATTCCCAGACCCTTTACTGAAGCTCACTTGCAAAGCAAGGAATGCAGTTTAGGAAACTCCATTACTGGCCAGGAGCTGGATGGGCAGGAATTAATCAGCGAGTTCTCCACATGGAGCTTGCCTGTTCAAACCCCATCCAGGCCCAGAGCAATCCCAGGCTCTTGCCCTCGGAAGGCTCATGGAAAGCCTTCCTTGGCCTCAGTCCAGGCAGCTGCCCAGGATCATTGACACCACAAAATCCAGCAGCTCCAGGACTGGCAAATCCATAGCCCTGGTGGAAATTACAGCAAAAATCCAAGGAACTGAAAGCAGGAATATGTTGATGCCTTGTCCCTGCAGTTTGTCACCCATAGCCTCAGGTGGCACAAACTGGCAGAGTGTTTTAGGGAGGTTTAGAACGTTTTTGGGTTTGATGCCCTTTTATCACCAGTGAACAGAAGGTGCAAACACACAATTCCTACCAAATGAGGAAAGCGTGTCTCGTTTTGGGTAAAGAAATGCCGACTTCCAGCTTTCTTAGACATCCAGTAAATTACGTTTGCCAAATCGTAAACGAATTATTTACTCGGAGCAGCTCTACCTGATGTGGTTAAATAATGCTCTGGTTATTCTGGGCCATCTATGTTAAGGAAAAAAGAAACTGCAAACAAGCATTTCAAAATTAAGCTGACACAAAGTCCCTCTCACCCCTCACCAGCCCTTGTGCTTTATCATAATCTACAGGTGAAGTTTAATAGCTGTGTTCAACCATCAGCCTTTGCTATTTATGTCAGTTTAATTAAAATAACAAAGAACTTATTTATATATTTAATTAAAAAAAATAATAGGAAAAATGAAAGCCTAGAGAAGTCTACCTGAATCCCTCCATCCCATGTTTTTGGTAACCCCATTCGTGCAGGTGATTTTAAGATGAAATGTGCCAATGCTCCTTCCAGCAGCTTTTGCACTGATTGAAGTTGGCTCAGGGCCACTCCAGTAATTGAGTTTTTTCTGCAAAAAAAAAAAAAAACCCACAACGTTCAGGGCACTATAGAAATTCTTTCTTATATTTTTTTTTACAAGACCTTATAAAACTTCCAAGGCAGTGTCAGGAAACAGCACAGCTTGTTTTTATTTCAGTAGCTCAGACTTTCTACTTTCAAAAATTCATTCTGAAAATCCATTTTGAAAATCCATTTTTAAAACACACATGTGAAATACTTCATCATTATAAATTCCACAAGGGGCATTTTCTCTCCTGGGTCTTCTGCTGCTTCTGATGTTTGCTCTCCAACACTGCTGCTGTTTGAACTCAGCACATCTCAAGGATCCAAATTCTGTTTCAGACTAAACGGACCCATCTGCTGGTTTTGCTTAACACTATTAACAGAGCTGGGAGTTAAAATTCCCCTGAATTCAAAGTAAAACATTCCCTAAGCAGGCAGTGTTTCCATTGCAGACTGACAGAACTACCTCAAGTACCTTCTCAGACACAAGAACCAGGTTCCAGATTTCCAGCCATGGGAATTCAAGGGTTGGAAGTTGTTACCAGGTGTATTTTGGAGCACTGCTCGGCCTTCACTTTTCCTTTACTTATAACTGTTCCTGCCTTGAAAATAATAAATAAAAAGAGGCAGGTACAAGTTTATTGTTATCTGAACAAATTGTGGGTTTGGGCCACTGCTTGTCCCTGCAGCTTTGGAGATTCCCAAGTCCCTGAGGCACCATCAGAAAGGACTCAGAATCTGCACGGAGTCAGGAACACAAAGTGTATTTATGTCAACAGGCACAAGTGTAGGAGGTTCTAAAAACAACTGAATGGCTTTAAAACTTGGTTTTACTGTGATATTTACTGAATATTTACCTTTAAGAGTATCACAGTGAGCCCTCAGAGGGTCAGAGAAGTCAACTTTTTCAACTAATAACTGCTGTTCGTGTGAACAAGAGACTCCTGTTCCAGATACTTTGTGTAATTAGAGTGATAAATTCCCAGCTCTTTGATTTTCCCAATGTAAGGAACATGGAAAGCAAAGGACACCAAATGCCTTTTGGAATTTCCTACAGCCAGTGAAAGGCATTAAAAAAAGCTCTGGGAAGTTTAAGGAAGTTTTTAACTGTTTTATGTTTCTTTTGCAATATAAGGTGTCCTGTTCAAGAACTAACCAGTTTATTTTCTTGACAGGATTAGAAATATATAAGCAACTGCTGAGAAGGTGATAATTTTATTATATATTTGGGTTTCAATAAAACAGTAAGTGAAGGACTAGGCCTGCTCTAAATTTATAATCCATTCAATTATCATAACCTAAATAACTGCTCTGTAAATACTTCCTCAGAAATTTTCATCAAATGCATTCAAATAGAAATACTGTCCCCAGAACTGAAAATTACCTAAAAGACCATAAAAAAGCTAATTAATAAAAGCATGGAACTGGAGAATACTGCTAAGGAGCTCTGGAAATAGTAGTATTAGATCTGGTCCACTAGAGAAAATAAAATTTAATTGGACAAATGCAGCAGTTACACCAAAATGGAGAAAGGTTTAAGGACTATGGAAGAGAGGAAAAAAATGGGCTCTGACAAAGAAATGCAGCTGAGGACACATTGTATCTCTGTATTTGAGAATGAATCCACCACTGCATCAAACAGAAATTTGTGCCTAAAAAAATTTGTGGAGAGCAGTTCTGGACTAAAATGATATTTACTTTACAATACTGCGGTTTAATACACAGTTCTGCAACCCTGCAGACAAATCAGCTTTTTTATTGCTATTTTATTGTTAGTAGCTTTTTGTGTAATCACAGAAACATCTGCAGGGAAATGCCCAGAGCAGAGAATCCCTGGGGAAAGCTGTGGTGCCAAGGCTGCTGGAACCAGGCTGAGTGACAAGGTGACCAGGGAATTGTGGCACAGACCACGAGTGAGAACTGGCCTGGCTGGCACTGCTGGATCCCACTGAGCCTCCCAGCACCTTGGGATGATAAAGTTAATGATAAACTTCCAGCTATTTATTAAAAAAACATCCTTTTTGGAGCCTGAAAGTACTGATACAATAATGGGTTCCTGGTTTCTTTTGCTAGAAACCAGTGGAGCAGTGGAACTAAATTCCCCCTCCTGGCTCAAAACTACTGACCAAAGTGAAATATTCCCATTTTTGACCATATCTGAGAAATGGATTCCTGGTAATGGACTTGGAATGTCACTCACTCCATAACACTGAAAAAAACAGTATTCTTCTATCACTGTTGTTTGAGCTCTGTTCCAGAGTTTGGATGGCTTTTAGGTGGCTTTAGCCATCCAAACCGGTGAGGGGTGAGATAAAAGAGGCAGTTTTGTAAATGCTGATGTGTGGGAAGGGGAGCACTGGTGGCAGCAGGGAGATGGCACACGTGCAAACACCACTGGAGCAAAGAAATTTGCTGAATGGGCTATCATGGCATCATATTTAATGTACAGGAGAATGTTTGGCTGGTATTCCCTGATATCATTTCTACATCCACCCTAGGAAAGAGTAGATTTTGAGAACTTTCAGAATAAACCAAGAGGGCAATCCTGCATTCACATGGAACCACGAAAATCAAAATACACCATCTTTTTTTTAACACCTACCACCTTCTAAAGTGGTAGGAGTTTTTCCCCTTGGTTTCCCATCCCCTGGGCAGTGTTGCTGTGTTTCTCCCAGCTGAGGCAGCCTCTGAGACTCTCAGGATGAGCAGTGCTCCTAAAATCCCTGGGGACATTTTTGTTACCTGCATAAGAACTTCAAATCCATTTCCAAATTCTGCTGCTTTTAATGATTTCACTTCCACCCACTGTCACACACTGGGCATTGCAGGCGTTCTGGGGTGCACCTGGAGAGGGGAGGCATCTCAAAGTTCACCACCTGCTCCCTCATGGCCCAGGCCCAGTAACACTCATTGTCACACAAACCCAGAGGGAAAGCAGCACAATCCACAGGATTTCTAATAAAAGCCTACCTAGAATGGCATCAACAAAACAAAATTTCTTAAACCAGGTACTTCAGAGATCTGAAGAATCCTGGGAAACAGAAAGGAGCGAACAGAAAGAATCCCAGGCTAAAAAGCCTGGGTTTCTCTCACATGGAACCTGTATTTAAATCTCCAGCCACATTTAGCTTTGTCTTACCTAAATTCACACCAACAGTGCAAAAGGGAAAAATTTGACTCAACAGGACCGTGTCTGCAGGAAATATTCTGCCACATGGGTGTGATTAACAGAGGAGGTGTCACACAATGAAACCTTGGAACAACTCACTGAGGGGAAGAGGGGGCTGCAGTGAGTGACAGTTCCCAAACCACGCTCAGCTGGGACCAAACAAGAAGTCACCCACCAGGAGTTTATGAAATATTTCCTTTTAAAAACCATTAGAAAACAATTCTCTGCTCAGGTGAAAGGCCATTTTTCTACAATACCAACAGCTCAGCTCTGTACAGATTTTGATTAGGTTTGATTTATGGTGCAGATAATAACTTGATTCGGTTGTAAAACAGAGTCAAAATGTCTCTCTTTCGAGGGACTTTTGTAGACTGTAACAGTGTCACTGACCAAAGAAAAATGAACGATATATTTGTGATGTTGATGTACATGATGTCCTCTTGTCCTGCTTTGCTCTGATTGAAGTCACGTAAACCAAAGCAGTTGCAGGAGTGAAAAGGGGTTTCTAGGTTTTGCTTACACCATGTTGAGGGTACTGACAGGCATGTTCCTGAGGATGCAGTGATGTACACTGAATGTACACAGTGACAATAAAAAAGGGATATTGGAAATTATTAAATTACAATCAGATAGCATAAACTGGCTAGAATTTCCCCCGCCACAAAGAACAGCCCAAAACCTCTCTGAGCACCACCAAAGCACTGCCAAACAGAAAAAGACTTTGCAAAAAAACGTTCAGTGTTGTCATTCTGAGTATATTAAAATGATATCTAATTGCTGTAAGAATGAACAGTGCCCAAACTTTTGAGTCTCTCAGAATCAGTGAGGTTTGTACGAGGAGGGGAATGGTATTGCCACGGCATGCATGTCGAATTGTTTGCTTTTCTTTATCCACAGATCATGAAGGAAGTTCGGAGAGCATTGTGCAATGCATCAGCTGATGACAGTAAACTCTTACTTCTCAGCGCAGTGGGAAGTGTTTTCTGTAGTGGCCTAGATTACTCATATTTAATTGGCAGGTTATCCAATGACAGAAGAAAGGAAAGCACTAGGATTGCAGAAGCTATAAGGTGACCCAAGCTTACCTATGATCTCTAAATTATGAAATGCAGTGTGTGATTATAAAGATATTTATCAGGTCCAAAAATGTTGTATATTGAAGTGTTGATTGCATTCTAATTACAGGCCTGCAAATTTGTTTAGTAAGAAGAAACTTGGACCTTTCCTTATCAGAAAACAAAGCACATTGATTCCAGTGCTAATATCCATAGGGATTTATTTTATTCAGATTCTCTGTATTTAATATTTCAATCATTCCTCCCAATTCAAATACAACTTTGTTGTTGTTTTTCCAAATTTTCTGTTGACTCATTTAATGTTCTAAAGTGGTTCCTGAAAGGCAGATACTTTACTTGTTTTAATGTTCATCATTTTAATGAATTGCAATCCAAATGGGAGTCCATGGTTTACTCAAACCCTGTTGAAATAACAATCTGCCACTGTATTTCAGAACCTTATTAGAAGGGTCTCCACTCTTTTTCTTAAAATTTAAATTACTTCATATATATGTAAATGTAGTTTTATTTTTGTAACTAAAATGTGACTTTCCTCATATATATCACATTACCTTAATAGAAACCCAGGGTTTATGACATGCAGTCTGCAAATCAATCTGCACAACACATCACCAAATATTCCATTATCCACAAGGTAGATCTTCCAGTATAAATCAATGTTATTCCACTAAGACCAATAGTATTTCATGTACCAGGAGAGGGTCTGGTCCCCCTTTTTTTTTTTTTTTCTCCATTTCCTACAATATTCTTCTGAGAATTCTAAAACTTTATGTGGCAATTCTATGAAGGAATATTAAAGAATTTGTTTTACAACAGATCTCTATTTTGGATATATTGGTATAACCTATAATAGATATATTAACATAAAAATAACATATAAACCACAAGTTATCTTGGTTGCAACTACTGCAGATCAGTTTGGATTCTTGGTTAAAGTATTTTGAAATTCTCAAAGCAGTAATTATTTTGAAAGAATTTAAAATGTACTTCTTAAATGTAATCAATTATGATGTGTTTTTAAGACCCTACATATGCTTGAATATTATGGTGATACTTTAAAAAAGAGAAGCTCTTTGATTTTTTAAAGTGAGGGGGTTTTAACAATGCAGAACAAAAACAAAAGTGAGGAAGAAAATCACTATTCTTGTTTGAAAACACAGGCACACTCCCAGTCTCCCAGAAGATACAGATATTATTCTTGTAAATACTGTGTAGTTAGGTATTGTTATATATGTTTACATTTCTCTGCACACATTAATACACAGGTATACTTATCAATTCAACATTTAAATGAGTAGAAGCCAGGCTGTGATACTCAGATTTTCCATCCTTGGACTGCCAGGACACTCCTGAAATACTGGTCCAACGTTCTGCTCCCTGTCAGGAACGGCGGCTTCGGGCCCACTGAAAAGAGATTTTTATTGTACTTGTGGAAACAATGCCCTACGTTTTCCATTTAGCACTCTCTGTGCTTTCTGTGAACAAAGGACTCAACTCATGGAAAATACACTGTAAGAGGAGAAGAGAAAAATGGTCATGGCTTTTCCTGTGGTTGGGATGTCCTGAAACACACCACCAGATCTCTGCCTCCACCGCTTCCCAGCGAGCTGGAGATGTGTCAAAATGGAACTGAAATCTCAAGGACCACCTGTTTCCACTTCCCAAAGCGTGGCTCCCACACACCAATCACAAGTTCCAGCTGAAGTTTAAATCCCCATCCCAGGATGGTCCCTTCACTCCTCCCGCCGTCGGGGTTGGCTCCTCCCGGCATTGCTCGCAGATCCCTCAGCCTGAGCTGCCACCATCCATCCACATGGCTGGCCTGGAGCAGGGAAAAGCCAGACAGCCTGCACTGCAGCTGTGCATGTGTGGCCTGCAGAGCCCTGGAATCACCAGGCTCACTGGAAGGCATTCCCAGCTCCCATGGTCAGCTGGGCTCCAATACCCAGAACACAACATTGTGGGTGTGCTCAGAGAAAACACACACGGACAGCTTTGCTCCCTCAGCTTCCTCATGGCCCTGGATGTATTGAGGAGCCCTGAGCTGCAGCAGAGCCTTACAAAGAACAGAGGTGTCTGAGCATCCCAGAGTGTATTCCATGGTCAACTTCCCGGATATCCTCTGGCAAAACCAAAAGCCTTCTGCATGTGACGCTTTTTTCTGTCTTTCAGCCTCTGATTCTACTCTGCAACAATATTTACCATTTTAAATCCTTTTCAAAGACTGCTTTGATTTGAAACAAGGATCTTGTAGGCCAGAAGCTCCAGGAGTGAACTTATGCGTTGGAAACACGGAATTGTGCCGGTTCAGGGTGCAGTGACAACTCACTGGAACAAGTAATGCACCAACCAGGGACAGAGATCAGGGGAGTGCTGGTCACTGCAGCTTCTCTAGACCAAATGCAGGCCTTTGCTCCCCTCATAATCTCCCAGTATTGTAGCCTTCCACTCCATCCTGTAGGTGGCACATTCCATACCCTCACATTGTACCTCCCCTGTGCTCCCCATCCTTCCCTCACGACAGAGGCTCGCTGTGCCTTCTCAGTGTCCTGTTCCAATCTCCACGTCCTCCCTTCCTTGCTCACTCATAGGAAGTTTTCCTTCAGCCCTTCCCCTCCATTAATATGTTCTGCTTTGTTCTTCCTCCCCATTATCTGTTTCCCTTCCATATCCCTAATTCCTTTTCCATATTCCCTTCCAGTCCCGTTTATCACCACGATTCCTGCTTTTCTCCATAACACTGTTTTTATCTCGAGCCTCCACTCAGTCCTCAGATCCACTGCCCCCATTTATCCTTCGTGTGCTTTCTTTTTACCTGTCATTCATCACATCCCTGTTCCCAGGCCTGCTTGGAAGGCTTACTTGCTTTAACTACTGAGGTTCTCAAAATCCAGGAATTAATGAGGTGCAGTGATCCACAGTCATTACTCAACCATAAACAACGGAAGAAATAATGAGATAAGGGAACAGCATTGTTTCTGCTACAAAAATGAGCCACAACTCTCCTTATCCCTGCTCTCCTCCAGAAAGAAATGGTCTTGAACAGACAAAACCAATGTTCCATATTTCCCTCTCCTTGTCTTGACACTGATCTCCTGGTTTATTACTCACTGTGTGAACAGAGCTGCATCAATCAATTCTCTATTTTTCCATGGTCAGAAATTAACTCTTTACCAAACAGCCTGAAAAACAGAACATATCCATCGAAAATGTAACTCTGGGTCGCCTCAGACTCTTTGTTCTCATTTAAAACACAGCCAATGCCCAGTCCCCACGTGGGCTCTCTGGCCTGCAAAGCCAGACTGTTCTCAGGTGCAGAATTCTGCCTCCTTTTGACCTCAGTGGGAGACCTGCAACTCATCCAAGGGCACATCTGAAAAAGTGTTCTTTCCTAAAAATGTCTCAGTAAAGATGCACTCTGGATCTAATAAATACCCAGTGCAGGAACAGCATCTCCTCTTTTGGCTGGAATTTGATTTATACAGATCTCTTTTCTAAAGTAACTGAGCATCTCGTTTGCCTCCACGTACCTGCAGTGCACTGAGCTGCTGGAGCCCCTAATTTACCCACAATTACACTCCTGCTTTTCCCTAATTGCTGTAAAGGCTGTTCCATTCAACAGATGCCTTTCCACAGTTGCTGGTAGGTAACTTATTTAAAGTTACCTCACTGCACAGAATTTAACATATTCGAGTTCCTTCATCCAGATGAATCCAGTGACATTTACTTCCCCGTTATTTCTCATCCTTCACATTTACTGGTGCAGGCAGGCAAAGGCATCTCCTTTGTTATGGCTTTGCTGAAGACATTTGCAATGAAGACACAACAGATCACCTGCCTAATCCTTTCCCTGTTCAAGCATTTCTCTCTCTCTCTCTGGCTCCCCTTTGCTCCTCTTGTTCTTTCTGCTGGTGTGCCATAAACATTCACCATCTCCCAGTCCACTGATGGGACTTGCAGGAACCTCTGACACAGGATCACAAGAGAACTTCTCAAAAAAAAAAAAAAAAAAATCCAACAATCCAGCTGGGAGTTTCCTGCCTTCCACATTTCATCAGCAGCCAAACCAAGGAGCGCCGTGTGTACAAACTGCTGAGTTGCTGGTCCAAAAGGGAAACCAAACCCAACCAAACCTTTCTGCAAAAAGTACAACAGTCAGGGCAGTCCACTCCCATCAGTTCATATACAACATACACCAAACTGTGCAAATATCAGGTACTCAGAAAGATTAATTAGCAAACTAGAAAGTATCTTGCAATTCTGACCTCATAAAACTGGGCCATGGCATTTATTGTGTTCGTCCGTGCTTCTGATTTGTTTTCAGATTAAGTACTTTAAACTTGGGTATTTATCTAAGTGTTAACTTCTGTATTCAAGATCTCTCCTTTATGGTTTGTTTTTTTTTTTTTTTTTTTTGTATTTTAGGGATTTTGTAAAAGCTTTTATTCAGTTTAAGAAGCCAATTGTGGTTGCTATCAACGGCCCTGCCCTTGGGTTAGGAGCTTCTATTTTACCCCTCTGTGATATCGTTTGGGCAAGTGAGAAGGCTTGGTTTCAGACACCATATGCAACAATCCGACTCACTCCAGCTGGCTGCTCATCATACACATTCCCCCAAATTCTGGGTGTGGCACTGGTAAGGTTTTCCACCTCGAATTGCTGAAGAACCTTTCATAAATTCCTGTTCTTCTATCTCTCTCTAAAAAGTGAGCCAGAAAACAACTGTTTTATCTTAATTGTTGTGAGTGGAAATGAAATCTGTGGAAAGCTCACCTAACCCCTACCAATTTCTTACCACAAAGTGACCTCAGAGTTCAATATATTACAGGTGATGTAGACAAGAAAGACTGACACAGGTTGAAAAAGCGAAGGTTGTCAATGCCATGGTAGAAAAGTGAAGAAATACATGAGCAGAATAATCTTTCAGATCATTGCCTGTGTTGTGTTAGGATTGGGCAGTGACACAGGCAGATACTGCTCTCTAAAGATAACCCCTAATGATTCCAGTTAAGACTGCTTAGCTTTTACCAGTATAATAAAGCAGAATTTGCCCCACAGATAAATATTTCATACTTGGTTCCCGGACTCTCAGCGCAGTATCACTGACAATTACTCTGTTAAAATCAGCAATACAGATTTACCATTCCATGCCAGCACACTTCCCTTAAATGAAACCCATGCTGTGCTCTGGCCACCTGCACACCCCTTTAAATAGCTACTGAAACTCCTTCTAAAGTATTTTGCAGCATGGAAAGGCAGGGGGAGAACATTTGTAAATTTGATTGTAAAAATAGCAGGCAAGCATGGAAAAAAAGTTGAAGGGAATTATAACCCAATCTTTTGGTTTCCCAGGCAAATGAAATGTTGTTCTGTGGGAGAAAGCTGACAGCACAGGAGGCCTGCAGCAGAGGACTGGTGTCACAAGTGTTCTGGCCAACAACATTTAGCCAAGAAGTGATGCTGCGGGTGAAGGAAATGGCATCCTGCAGTGCAGTGGTAAGAAATCAAACCCCTCTGTGATTGAATTCCATTTCACAGAGGTAAGGTGTGCTCCCAGGGCTCACATGGGGGGCCCACAACCCCACCTGTGAAAGAAGGGTGCCATGAAGAAACCTGCACAGGGCTCAGGGAGCTCTTGGGGTTTCTCATTTCTCATGGGCAGAGAGGGTTTAGATTTATTCAGTCCGAGTGGAACCTCCTCACCCCAGATTCTCAGAGGGGATTTTGGCACAGGCTTCCTTCACGAAGGTGGAGGAGGCTGAAACCGCCCAACTGGCCAGGGAAATCCCTGTAGGACCCGTAAGAGAACAGATTTGCCCTCCCCACTGTCCTGGCCTACCATGTTTCAGCTGGGCCTGCCTTCTCCTGGGCACCTGCATCGTTCCTGCCGCTGCAGCCTGTCCTCCACAGCTCACCAGAAGGGTAGGATGGTGCCAGCTGAGCTCTGCTGGGAAGGAGAGGTGAGATCCAGTCAAGTGGGATTTGAACACAGTCTGCTCACAGTGTACTATAACTTTCCTTTTGCGTACGCAAAAAACAGCAAGAAAATCCTTCCCTATTTTTACTTCCTAGGGTTTTTTTTTTTCCCCTTCAGGCAGATACACTGCTATTCTGGGCATATCCTTGTTTAAAAAACATGCAGTGAAGAAAGTGATACTGCCTGCAATAAAACTGCACTAATTAAAGTGCAAATTGTTACAGTTTCTTGTTATATTTCCTGTGCCTGAAACAGTCTTAACATCCCTCAGTTTCATTTAAAAGATCTGTTGTAAAAGGAGGTAGAGGCACAGGAGATTTTTAATTAAATGAAGTGTATATTAGATCTCACAGAAGACACTGAGAATGAAACTCTGGAAATGTAGCACCAGTTGATTTGATGATGCTGATATAAAGTGTGTTATATGAGTTGGGAAGACCTCTGGGCCTTACTGTGGATTCTTCCTTCCTCTCTTCACTGCTGTTGGCTGTCAGTGAAAAAAGAAAGCCCAGTGCCAAGTTGTGGACAAAGATAAGAGTTAAACCTGTCCAAGACTATATTCACTCTCAGATCCTCAAATCGGGCTGAAGTCACAAATACAATTGACAGGATGAGCTCATCCAAGTTCACTGGGGATGTCTGTTCACAAACAGACCAAAAAATACACAGGCCCCTTGGTTTGCTGCTAACACCATTTACTTGAGTTCAAGAGAAATGCTACTGTGGAATAGCAGTGCTGGAACCTACAACAGAGAGGAACTGGGCTTACCAGGAAGGTTTTGACAGAGCTGAGTGAAGAGTGGGCATCTCCCTTACCATAAAACACTGCATTAGCTCACATTAGATCTTCTGTCCTCCAAAAATCAGGACTGAAGGAACTATCAGTGGTTTTGTTTGACTAGTTGAATTGCTGGTGAGGTACATACTGGTGGTGTGTATTTCAGAAAAACTGTAAAGGAATCAACCTGAATGTGCTCCAAAATGGGTTTGGGAAAAAATGAGCTGCACTATGGGAGCAGCCACGGACCAGCTGTTTGTGCCTTTCAGAACCTGCAGGAATTAGCAAGGCTTTGTGATTGGGCTTTCCTTTGCAAAACCCTTGGGTGATTTGTTCTCACTACTTCTATCTGCCAAGGAGATTTAACTCCACACAGTCAGAGGGTGCTTGTTTTGCTCAACACTATCTTCTATAAAATATTTCACTTTTATAAAAATACAAGTAAATAGACTTTAAAAGGTATTTGCAACAAGGGACCTTTCCTATTAATTTCTGGTTTGACAAGGAAATAATACAGGAGGGAAAATTGTTAAACATGATGGACACCCACCTTTGGGTTGGTTTCCAACCCGTTTAACAAACCCCAAAAGCCACTTTCCAGCAGCCAGTCTATCATGGCTCACATTTTCATTTCAACAGGAGGGAGTTCAGCTCCTTCTAATGCTTCATGGCAGACCTTCAATAAACTAAGGTACTTCAGAATCCCTCATTCCTTTAAAAACTTTGGCACTAACCCATCACCCTCAGACATCCTTAATTTTTAAAGATGCTGACTGTCAGCAAGGGCAGTTGTGACCATTAATCAAATCTAATTTCTGTGCCCAAAGGAGTTACTTAGCCAGTAAAGCAGAGTCAGTAGTGTAAAAAATGCTGGTCAGGCCATTAGCCATAAAAAATGTTCAGGTTCAAAATAAAACACCGAGCCGTGTTTTGGCTTTAGGTATTGGAAGAGTCCAAATGCCTCGTGCGGAGCTTCCTGAAATCCGGGCTCGAAGATGTGAACGAGAAGGAGTGTCAGATGTTAAAACAGCTGTGGAGCTCCTCCAAAGGACTGGATTCCTTATTCAGCTACTTGCAGGACAAGATTTATGAAGTCTGACGTCCTGGCCCGAGTCAAAGAGGAGGCGCTCCCGCTGTGAGCAGAGGCCACCACGAGCGGGTTTGAGGGGCAGAGGCGACGCATCCCCCGAGGAATTTGTGACAGTGTATCCCAATCCCTGTGCTGGTGTGGGTTTCCTTGTGAGCTACAGCTGCTGTAGCGGGTTTGATTTGGTGTAAGCAGGGAGGTGTTCCGTGCACGTGATCTCTGCACAGGCTGCATCTTTCCCATCGCTCATCCAGACACGACGATACATTCCATGTGCTCGGAAGCAGGGCTGGAGCCCGGTAAGGCTCACCCACCTGGAAGGGTTTGTTTTGTCTGTCCTTCTTAACTTATTCTTGCTGTTGCCACACACCTGGGCTGACACAGAGGGCTCAGTCTAAAATCTGGGTCACCACGATCTCCCGTAGACCCAAACACCGTATTTTAGAAATATGTTAATTATTTTTTTGAAAAGTTCTAACAGTGTAATGGGAAAAATCTGATAATTTATATGTATAATATGTAAAGTTAGTTTACAAAAACTACTAGGTTTTTTTTTCCTTTGGTGAATTTATTTAAGTTATTTATTTTGTGTTCATATTCAGCTGTTTATTGATCACAGATCTTATTTTCGTACTTCCCTTGAGTGAATTAATGGCATCACATGAGAATGCAAACATTTTTAGAAGCAAACTGAGTAGAAAAATAAAGGATTTATAGAAACCCCCACAGAAAGCTGTGGGCAGTAAATGAAACAGCCACGTGCGTGCTCCTCTATGTGTGAAAAATTGTACAAAAAAATGTATGAAACAGATTCATTTGCCAGGGTTAAGAGAAAAAAAGTGGATTCCGAAACAATGAGTCCCCCTTACGTCTCTGTTCACTTTCTGCCTTCTTGAGGAGCACTGAAGGGCTCACCAACAAGATGCTTTCTTTGAGTTTGCCTGTCCTGTTCTCCGGTGTCAGTACAGGGTGAGTGGGGCCGTTCCGTGGCACTGGACTGTTTTTTCAGGTTTAAACACCCCTTTTGGTCTGAAGTCTAAAATCAAATCCTTAAGGAGCCTTAGTCTAGCTGCCTGATTGCTCAGGTGTGAGAGAATTTCTGCTCTGGAGGCCTTTGGGTGCGGGCCAGCAGTCTACAAGGTGCTAGGCGTTGAACTGAGTGTGGAGGGAGAGGTTTGGGTCTGCTTCTCCCCAGCTCTCCACATCTGGCCACCCCCCCTCCCCACCCGCTACAAGAACTTCTGGCTTTCCATAAAAGCAGTCCCTGGCAAAGGAGGAAAATCCAATCTGCTCTTTCAGAATGTGATGCCAGTGCTGTTCAGTGACACTGCCTGAGCACTGGATCTCTCTCAGTTCTTCCCTGCTAGGGGGGCAGGACCCGAGCCTGCTCCGAGACTTCACCTGCCATTTTACTACACCCAAATTAAAACCTCTTGAAGCAGAAGCTTTGCACATTTGTTTGCTTTGTAATTTGTGCACTTGCCCCCCCCCCCCGTCCTTGAGCTCAGTGACTTTTTCTGGTTTAAACCTCTGCAAAGGAGGCTGCTCAGCTTTCTCCCTCTCAGTATTTCCATGCAGAGTTTCAACAAAGCCTTTGGAAAGGTAACGAACAGGTGATTACAGTAAATAGGAGCCTTCAACACATTAATGTTTCTTTTGCCACAAATAATTAGAAGTGCTGTTTCTGTGGCCTAATTGTACCAGTGATTTTTACCCTAAAGGCAGGGGGCTCTCATGGAAATTCTTCGTGAAAAATAATCTGGTTTCTAATTAGCCTGGTTTTAAATGTTTTTCTATAGAAGCTTATGGAAACAAGCAGCTAATTTTCAAATGGCTGAAGGAGAGCTCTTTCAGGAGCTGTCTGAAGTGAGAGATGCACTTGTTTGGATCCAGGCCATGGGACCCCACGGCAGGTGCCCATGGGAGTCACCTGGAAAAGAGGGCTCAGCCCAGTGAAAGCCACTCCCACCCACGTGTTTGCACGGTCAGGCCCCCAGCCTGTGGCTTCAGAGAGTACAGCAATGGAAGGTACCACAATTCCTCATTTCCCTTCCCTTCCCTCCCGTCCAGAGAGCCATAACTCCAGCCGTGTGTCAGTAGGAGATGAGGAAGTGGATTTCAATCCTGTGCTTGGGGTTTGTAGGTAAATCCAGCAGGATTGCTCAGCAGTGGGGAGGAACGAGTTCCGAGTGAGATTTGCAAACAGAGGAGGAGCTGAGGTTGTTCGATCTTTGAAACTGCACCATTTCATCTGAATTTTCAGATATCTGTATCTTAGCATTTTTTTATGACAAAGGAATGGTTGAAATACATTTTCTATAATTATTTTTCCATTAAAGCAAGCGCTAACCATAGTTAACATTTTTAATTATTCATATCTATACAGTTACAATCTAGTTTTCATGGAATCTATTTTCCCTTCAAAAAAAAAAAAAAAGAGTAATAACAATGTTGAAAAACTTCTTTTCCAGTATTTAAATATCAGAATCAGAATTTTCTCTTGTGTTTCTGTCCTTACTAGGTATTCAGATATCTAGATGTACTGTATATATTAGTCTGGGTACCTTTACTAATATTCACAGTATTTAAGATGAAAAATGCAATTTGTTGTTTAAGTATGTTATTTTATTCTCGTGTAAATTGTTTTGTACAATCTTTAAAAATCTACAGTTTTGCATTTGTAGATATTAAAGGTAAGCAATTTATTTTGTGTTGTCCTGCATGTATATTTTTGCTGTAGATAAGTGTTGCTTAGTTTACTATTTCAGTACATTTCTGTTTAAATAAATAAGCTTACAAACTTTAATACAGTATATATTTTCAGAATATAAACTTTTATATTTCTGTGGTAGGTTAGGGTATGCGTTTTAGGCAATCTTTTTCACTACTATGAACTGTTCTTTTAATCTATAATATAATGGTTTTGTGCCAATAGTTTTTAATTAGAACAAAATGCTCTTTTAATGTTAGGGATGAACAGACAATTTTGGTTGGGGTTTGTTTTCTTTCGGTTTTTTGGGTATTTCTTTTTTATTATTATTATTTTGCCAGCCTTTACAGTTTTAAATATAATTTATAAATGTCTTGCATTTGTGAATAAGCCTTACCATTAGGTACAAGAAATCTTTAAAGCTGCATAAATTGCTTATGCAGCACTAAGGACTTCCCCAAATAATTGCTGTAAGAAAGTTTAGCAAATCAGAGTTACAGGGCCTTAAGTTTTTCTTGTGAAAAGGATAATACGGGTTGTTTCTCTTGAACAACAGAGGTAGATTGTCAGCGTGGGCTTTGTTATATATATAAACTGTGCATTTGTGCTCCCCAACCATGGTAGTTTAATCTCAGGCTTTGTGTGGCTGGGTCTATAAAAGTCAAATCTGGCTAAAGCCAGCGCTCTTTAGGAGACACTAAAGAAGTTTACATAAGAGACTTATAGACAATCTTATCATAGTACATTTGGGTACTCGCTATCCTCGATGTGTTCTCTGTGTCTGCCCAATTAACCCTATGTTTTAAGCCATATTAAATCTCTTTACTGCTATTTTAAATGCTTACACTGAAAGTCACTCGCCAGAGCTTGCTTCCTCACACCTAGGATTTCGAATTTTTTTTTTTAGTGAATAAAAATGTTTATGCCTTCCATAAAAAAACAAAGGACCAAAGAGCTGCGTTGTTCTGACAAGGCACCGGTTCCTTCGCCGGGGAACGGGTGGGACGTTCGTACTGAAAACTCCAAGAGTCTCTTTCTGCTCCAAACACTGCAATCCTCACCCACGTCAGGTGTAAGGGGGAAAGGTGTGTCCACTGACCCATTGGGAAAGGAGTGATGCTCAAGCTGGGATGGCGTGTCTATTGGTAAGGCTTATTACCAAACCTCGGAGATGAAGCAAAGAACCAAAAATTCACGAGTTATGTCAATGTAAATTTATTTTCAGAACTTGCACAAATAATTAATTGTAGAACTTTGCAAATTAGGCCCTTAAGTTATTTTGTCAGAATGCCATGGAACAGACTAAAACAGTTTCTAATATTTGTAACAATGAGTACATATTATAATATTATAAGGGTACAGGCACCCCTATATCACAGTGTTGTAAATATTTTCTGAAACTGGTACAGTACTGAGGGACTTGTATCTTCTGATATATCAAATATTGACTGTCTAGATCAAATTGTACACAATTTATTTGTTGATGGTCCTGTAACTAGTGTATGGACACATTTCTGGGTGCCTTAGAAGTTGTATTTTTCATGTGTGTTAATATGCAGTATTTATACATTGTGAGAAGCTGCTTTGAATAAAAACAATGAAACTTCATTTCAGTGCAGTGCTTTTCAGTTTTACATCATGAGAATGAGCGTGGGAAGTGGTGGCCATTCTAGATTATAATGGTATCCATGGGCTGTGCCTTTTCCAAGGGAGCAGGAACAGGGGGCTTTTTAAAGGACAGTTATTTATCCAAAGGAATAAAAAACCAGGGCACTAAAAGACACTGCAGGAAGAACTCCCCGAAGTCAATCGTGGTCCATCTATTTATCATTTCCTGATCATATCCAATAAGACCACCCAGAACTGTCCCCAGAGTGAAGGTGGATCACCCTCTGGTCCCTGTGCATGGGCACAGATGGGATTCCTGCCATGGGCCTCGTGTGTACGTGGGATCCTTTGGCTGTAGCATCTGGGAATGCTGTTTCCAATCACACATCTCACACATCTCCCATGATTAGAAGGGTAACTGTAAATTAATCCTGCCTGGGGCAGAAAGGGAAGGATATCTGTACAGGGAGCCAGTGTTTGCCACACCACCTGTACAAGGAGGTCTGAGAAAATGACCTACACTTGATTCAAGGGACAACAATTATGTTCTAGGAATTATATTGGTTGGCTTTAAACTGACAGACACGGTTAGCAAAAACCATGGTCAGCTATTTAGAGCGGAGGATTGAGCAATTTAGTCTTGCTTCACTATCAACAAATCCAATTATTTATTACGGCGACTCTCGTCAGGAATTAACTTATCATGGCTTCCTCTGGACTGTGAGCAATGAGCACGTGATGGACAGGGTGTGACACCTTTCCTAACCCTTTTAGTGATAAGTTTGGGTCTTAACACACATTGCCAACATGTGAGTTTTATTTGAAATCACTCATTTTTAAAAGAAAGCAAAAATGCTCTAAAATTAAAAACTCCATCCGAGTATGTTGGGGGAGTCCTTGTTGCAGTAAATTAATATACAAACAAATTACATGGAGGAGGAACCCATTAAGAATATATAAAGGCCTACAAATTTAAACAAACAAAAGGCCTGTCTGGGAATGGCATGTATAAACTGCAGGCAGGTATTAATCCCACTTTAGATATAAAAATAATCAAACAGTTCAAAACTCCACATAAACTAAGACATGGGGTTGAATCCTGTTGGAACGACAGAACCAATATTGCATTTGGGAAGAACAAGGAGAGGTTCTGAGAGAAATGCACAGCAAATGAAAGCGTGGGAGAGAATCAGAAGGGCACCATTTCCCAGACTGGGGGAGTTCCAAGCAAATCAAGGGTCAGGAGTTGGGCTGGGGACACTTTGGTTGCGAAGGGTAAAGTCAGGGTGAGATTCTGGATTCCAGTTATTAAGTCCACGTGGCTTGACACAATGATTTTCATCTGGGACTGTCAAAAGTTGTGTGGGAGAAAGAAGAACTTTTCATTTTGAGGAAAGGAACCAGTTTCTAAGTTAAACTGCATCACCTTTCCTTTAGCACTTCCATTTAATGGTGTCACTTGAACAAATGCAATGGATCTAAGTCAAAAGCCACCAGCACCAGTGGAAATCCTCCTCCTGACTTCCCCTGCTTCTAGATCAGCCCCAGTGGCTGACAGATACCACAACAAAGTCCTTCACAGCAATAGTATAGGGAATATTTGTAGCCATCTCTTCAAAAGATAATGTGTCTCTGATAAGAAACACATCATTAGCATTGGAGGAAGGATTCCACATCCTTAGCTCCAAATTTAACAGCAGTGTCTGAAATGTTGTATAAATGTCAGCATTTTCAGTGTTACTGCTGACTCTTGTTAGCAGAAATTCTTGCTCTGCTGTGGTTTAACCTTCCTTAACTCTACAGTTCCATTTATCACGTGTGTAACCCAACATCTGTAAAACTGATTTTACACGTTGGTCAGAGACAGAAATACGTTGGGCAACAACTGGAAAGAGAAGAGTGAAAACAATCTGTGCAACTTCAAAAATGTCATGTTTGAAATGGGGGCTCTTGAACTGCTGCTTCCTCCTGAGATGGGAGATAAAAAGCTGCTTCTACCATTGGAGTTCCTAGAATAAAATACATTTTAAACACTAAGCAGCAATCCTGACTTGTTAGGACTGAGTTAATTACTATCATCTGGAAATAAGTTATTCACAGTCGTCCAGAAAGGTTTCTGATGCGTGTGTAAATAAGTGGTACAATTTCTGGGACTCAAAAAAGATCAGCCATTCCCCACTGCTGCCCTTCCAGCCACCTGGGGATTGCACACGCTGCCCACCAGGCTCTGGGGTATTCACTGTCTACAAGAGGTTCATTAAAAGGATAAAAGAATTCACAAAAAGCTCTTCCCATGGGTAATTATTCCAGATCTGCATTATCTTAGCCTCTCACTTGTGTAGTTTGTATGCAGCTGCAGCAGGTTGGTTGTCAGGGGCTCAGACTCTGGCAAACAATTCTCTTCAAGTCCAGTTTTTGCCCATTAGGCTCATAATGAGCAACAGCTCCAAACTCCTGCCAGCTGCACTGCCAGGGGATGCCCTCCTGTTCCAAGGGCAAAGAGAGGCTGTGCTGGTTGGAGTGTGGGGTATGGAGCTGCCCACTGCTTGACCCTGATCCTCCCATCCCCATCCCCATCCCCATTCCCATCCCCATTCCCATTCCCATCCCCAGGCTGGGCCTGCCTTCACCAGACCAGAAAAACAGGACGTTTTGTTCTCCAGGTATTTACATGTAACAGGAAGAAACAGACTCATTTCCCTGCGTGTTAACGTGATGCCAGTTGGGAAGGAACATCCCAAAGCACGTTAGACCTGGTAGGATTCATCTTCCATCCATGGCTATGACTCGTCACAACACAAAGACAACTCCCCTCCCTAAATGATGGTTTTTAAATAAATGCATTTTGTCTAAAAATCCAGCGAAAGGTTAACCTGAGTGGGCTGCTATAGAGATGATTTGAAAGGCTCAAACTTTTCCCAACCGTTTCGAAAGTCTGAGAAAATCCACCAGCTCTCCATTTGGGATTCAAGCACTTGGTAAACACACTCCACAACTGCACCATGGCTGTGTGCCAACCAAATGGTGAGTCAGCAGGCAGGGGGAGGGAATCAAGTGTCAAGAATGCATTTAACCCTCACTCAGAGAACACTTTTCTTACCAGCAGAATGAAAACACACCATGAAAAGAAAAAAAATTACGGGAATTTTTGTTTTCTCCATTAATGAAGGCAACTATCGTAATTTTCTTCCAACTTTACAGGGACTCTCAGATTTAAATTAGGGCAAATGCTAAAGAAAACAGCAAACTCATGAGAAAGAGGTTCATGAACACTTATCTGTGCAGTCCTTTGATTCCTACTCTGACAAAAATCCCAGTGATAATCCCGGGAAGGCTGAGTGCTGAAGGGTTTCACGAGAGCATTAGAACTGATAATACTAAATACTCCCAGAGATATAAAAAGGAGTACATTTTCCTAATGAAAATGCAGCTCAACTCATGTGTCCTATTCCCAAAGGAGTGTCTGTGCACGCTACTGAGCCTCACAGTGTTTTTGTGGAGCGTTTGATGAAATCACGAGATTTCCTAAATCATTTTTAAATTAATCCCTCTTCAGGAATTCCCCACTGAAGCATCACTCTGCATGCTCACTCTAGACAGTCTATTCAGGAAGGGAAAAAAAAAAAAAGCATAAAAAGATTGAGGCTTTAAAAAATATAAAAAAAAAATTAAATATTTGAAAGACGGCCCACTCTTCCACCTGAAGGTTTGAACACTCATTTACAAGGCTGTTCAACACTGCCAAACCAGAATGACAGCATTTTATACCTACTTTCTTACTCTTCACAGGTGTAAATAACCACACTGGACACCTGTGGAGGAGGGGAAAGGAGCAGGAGGAAAAAGACTCCAGTTATTACCTTCAGAGTGTTAGTTCAGGGTAATTACAGAGCAGCTGCGACTTTCCAGCTCCCCTCCATGAGGGAACAGATCCCGTTTCCAGGGAAGGGCTGAGCACAGGCAGCTCACCCACAAAGGGAGAGTTTGGTCACACTTCTTGTCACACTGAGCTCCATGGCCTGAGCCACCTTCTCCAGGACCTCAACTCACCAGCCAGGACCATCCATTGAAAGTTGGATTGTCCTGCCCTGGTTCAAGCTGGGCTGTGAACAGCACGGAGCAGGACTGGTTGGTACACACAGGGTGGAAATGGCTCACAAAGCCTGAGCTTGAAATTTAGACAAAACCACCCCCTGTGGCACGAGGAGACAAGCCCTGCTGGGTTGGTGGAAGGACTTTGAGCCCAGCCTTCAGCCCTGCCTTCCATCAGCTGTTGGCAGGCTGGGGCAGGGGCTGCACTTGGACACCACAGGTGAGCCAAAGGAGATCCATCTGAGCTGACTCTGAGCTCAAAACACTGACAAAAATAGAGGACACTGAAAGATGGCAACATCCCATAGAGGAACACAGCAGCAAGAAGGAGATTACCTCCTCAAACACCACCTTCCCTCCACCAGGATTTTATGGACCGGAAACGCAGTCTGACCAAAGAATAACGTGATGGGAAACTGCTGTCACTCACTGTGAAGGATTCTGGCACTTGTGGAGAGAACCAAGTCCTGCTGAACTTCAGTTCTGAAAGCAAATTCTCCATGTATTCTGCTCCATTCCTCCAGCTGAGATTCCTAAAGAAAGGGGAATGGGAAACACTGTCAGCTTGCAGCTCGAGGAGGAAAACCACGACACATTCATATGCAGGAAGCTCTAAGTGACCTTCCATCATTATCACAGCACTAATTCCCAAAAACCCTGCAGAGCTCCAGAACTCTCCAGAGCACTGTTTCATGTACCCAGCACTCCTCCATCAAAAACTGCCTTTAAAAAATAAACTAATAAGTTCCAGTTACAAATAGAAATTTCTTTGCCCACTCTTGCACTCCCAAACCCAAGCACCATTTTGGGTTCCTGTGTGAACATCCCTGGGAAATGTGAGATCGACAGGTCGTTCCAGTTTACATCCTTGGAACCTACTGACCCCATCAGCAGAGTGAGAGACCAAAGGAAATGACACATGCAGTGGCACCACAAGATTAATACAACTGTTGATTAAGCAGCAGAAAAGTGAGAACACTTTACAGCTTGGTGGCTTGTTGTATAAAAGCTCTTCACCCGAGAATGTGAGTTATTGTTGAGAATTTTATCGATATAGTCTGTCCAATTTTTATGCAGAAAGCATTAGCAGAGGCTGTTTTAAATAATTTCAGATACTCAGCACTAAATAAGTGGCTCACTTTCAAGAACCAACCAAGAAGAAACATTCCACAGAATGTCGTATGTTCCTTTAGGAGGGGAGTTGCATTTCATCAGCATGGATGCTGAAGTGAAATAAGGCTCAGTACGGAGAATGTTTTCAGCAATAGCTGTTAATTAACTAGTAAAGTACTAATAAAATGTTTAGGCAGGTTGCATTTAAATAGGATTATAATGATGTGTAATTACTCAAAAAAGAGTGCCAAAACCATTCTGCAATAGACTGTGTTCAGTTTTCATGCAGTGCCCAAATCCATCTGAAAACAGAAAGGATTCCAATGTCCACTGTGCAGTGGCCAGGGCACAGCAAGCTGGGAAACTTCTGCTCTCAGGACCTTTCCTTTAAAAGCAACCTCTGAAGTTTCTCTACCAGGAGCTACAGAAATTAAAAGAAAATATTCCTAACACATACAGGAACAAATAAACACAGAGCAGCAGCGAGGCCAGGAGCTCCTCTGGACATTCCTAATGGAAAGCCACCAGGAAAATCAGGAAGAGGCTGTGAGGAAGCACAATGCTCCCTGAACTCCCGAGGGGGACACAGCAGGAACCTGGCCCAGCAGGACACCCCGAGGGGGAGGCACTCAATTCTGAACTCAACTCGGTGCAAAAGGTCCCAAACTGCTCTGCTGAGAGAGCAGCAATTCCCTCTGGGTCAGCAGAAAAGGAACTTGGCACAGCCAGCAAGAGTTTCAACCAAAGGAAGATGCAAATGTGTAAAACTGAAAAATGTGTCAGCGGAGATAAAGGCTCAGCAGCAAAAATAAGGGTGAGGTTGAAGTGCACAAAACTGCCATCATGGCAGAAATTAAAGTACTGGGGAGAGGAATGTTTATATCTTAGATATAATTTATATTATTATCTCTAGGAGATAAAAACCAGTGCCATCAAGTGCAGAGAAACTTTGATTTTCCAAAGGTTCCTCTTCCTGATGACACTAGTTCTTCACTGGTGGTGTAAATGCAGTAAGAAGCTGCCAGTCTAAAAAGTCCCAAAGTTGCTTGCAGAATCTTTGTATTTCTTATAAATCTTTCCATTCCTCAGTGATAGCCATTGGTGTCTTTTAGACTAATTAACAACAGGCTGCTGCAAACATGGTCTTGTTTGTTTTTTAAATCAAATCTAAGCAACGTTCCTGTAATGACTCTGATGACAAATAGTTTCTAAATACACATGATGATTCTGAAAATTTTCATTTTACTGTAGGTTAAGCCAAAGCCTGGCAGGCCCTTCCAACTGAAATTACTTTATGATTTGCAAACTAACACGGTGCATCTCTGCACCATTAAACCCCTTTCCTGAGTCCACAATCCCACTCGTTTTTAAGATGACCTGTGGAATGATGTCATGGCAGGAATGGGGCTCCTTCCATGGCAAGGAAAACCAGGCATCTCCTTTTGTGATTTTTTTGAACATTTGCATCAATGAAAATCAGGTGCCAGCCAAGTGCTCAGTAATGCAGCTTTCAGTCACATGTGTTTAAAACAATCCTTTATTGAAAACAACCCTTCCTATCACCTTGCAAAAAACCAGAGGTAGGATTTGCAGAGCTTTGGATTCTTTTTGCCTGTGTATTACTTGCAGATGATGGACAAAAAACACAGGCTTGGGGTTTAAATTAAAGCAGCTGAGAACAGGTTACACACATGAAAATAACCATCTTTTTAAAACAGGAGGAAGGTCTTGTTCATTTGACAAGAATGGTACATTTCTTTAGAGATTCCAATCTCACAATTAGAAAAATAGGTCATCTTCAACTGATACAAAAAGAATTATAACCAACCAAGAACAAAAATCCAAACCCACAGGCTTGGGGTGAGGTTCTCACCCTGTAAGTCAATTAATGCTCCAAAATGTTCTCATTTCTGTTCTGCAAGACCTCACCCTTTTCACTGTGTAAAACCCGTGCTCTGAGCATTAAGGAAGATGACATTTACATTATGGGAGTAAGATATGCAGTGGGTTAATGTTCTACTTCGTGAACACATTACCAAGAAAGAACCTTCCCTTGGCACAAAAGGCAATTTTTTTTTTTTTCCCTTTGCATTCGGAGCTGATTTCCCAGTGTCACTGAGTCATCAAGGAGGCTGAGCAGCCCCAGCCAGGAAATGAAGATGATGGCATCTGCTGCTGCTCCCTCTGCCCCTGCCCTGCTCCAGCCCCTCTGTACTCAGCCACCTCCCTGTCTCCAGGATTCCTCTTGCCCGGCACACACAGGGGTTTGGTCTCCAGGTGTGATGATCCACCAAGTGGATCCACTTGCTGTGGGTCACATAAATTAAGATTCAGGCATTGCAATGCCAGACAAGCTCTGAATTAACAATGTGTAGGATTAGTGCACAGACTCAGGCCACCATCTGATAGTAATGTATCAAATATTGATATTATTTGATTTGCTAAATTTGTTGCCAGACAGGCCCCTAGAATGCAGAAGTTCATTTTCTGCAGAATTCTCTGTTACATTTTTTAGGAGAATGATGTCCCCCTTTGGCTGCAAAGCAGGATGTCACATGCTGTCAGCTTAGAGCAGTGTCAGTTAAATTCAAGGAACCTTCCCAGCCTGATTAGTAAATAACACTAAGTCATGTAATTAAAACAAAACCAAACCAGCGGGAGCACTGGGATACCACATTGTCACTATAATCTGACAAAGGTTTGGGCTATTTATAGCCCCCAGTCAGAGGTCAGACAGGCTGCTCCTTGGTGTAAAACACAGCCAAGCAAAAAGCAAAACTTCTCCCACTTAAGGATTCCTAAAACTGAGCAGAGAGTGGGAAAATTCACCTATTCCAATGTGGCAGCAAAGTGATCAGTCACCCCAGATCGTCTTCCCTTTCCCTTTCCCAGTCTCAGATGTTGGTGCTGAGGGAGTGTTGGGTCACGTGTTAAGGTTGGACTCCAAGGTCTTACAGGTCTTTTCCAGCCTAAATGATCCCATGGTTCTATTACAACAGCGATAAGATCCTAAACCCAGATTTGTCCCCGTTGCCAAGATGCTGTGGTAAGACAGACAAAGCTCCTGTCCAAGGAGGAGGAAAATTCCCCATCAGAAACGCAGTTATAAATACAGATACATGGAAATTTAATATTGAGCTCGCTGTGCTAAAATCAATAAGAGATTTTTCACCAACTGGAATGGAAATAGGATCAAGCCCAGAGATGGGAGATGTGCCAGCTTTGCTCAGCAGCCTCTGCCCAGCCCTTGCACAGTGTCATTTGTTACAATCATCACATCAGAGGGAGGTCTTTGGGATCAATACAAGGCAGAAAGACACGCAGTAAGTTTGTACGAGATGTAAAATGGGGTTTGAGGCTGGGGATCGAGAGACAGTGAGACAAAAGACAAGCAGGAAGAGGCACAGGTTGGCAGCCGATACAAATCCTTACAACTCCAAGAGAACTGTGAAACATCTCCCTGAATCCAGGGCTTAGAAACCACCAGGGTGAAGCACAAGGAATGAAGAGGATGAAAATGGGGTTTTACTCCAAGAAAAGAGGATGGCGGAGCGCTTTTTTTTTTTTTACATATAAAGGTAATTAGGAGAAATAAAATGTTTCTCTCAAAATTGAGATTTGGAATTACTCAATGGATTTGTTGTCAGTGAAAGGCTTTTGGTGAGAGAGCTTTTAGTGAAGGGAAGCAGAAACCAGCCTGAACATGAGGGACAGAGTAATGCACTGATGAATTTACACACTATTTTTGAAGCCTGTAAACAACAATTGTTAAAATAGCCACAGAAATTTGGAAATACTGAGAATTGGGTGTTCTCAGAGTGCACAGTGACATTAGTAAGCAAACGAGCCGTTTGTGGGCATCACAAGATTGATTTTCAGGTTCATTTTTACAAACAGCTTTTGATTCAAAAAATATAAAGATACTTCCAGTGTGACCGACAGCAGGACAAATGAATTAGGGGCTGCAAGCCAAAGAGCCTATTTTATCTCCAGAGAAGGGCTGCTTACTCATCTCCAGTCAACAGCTCCTTTTAAACATGCTGCAAGTAATTTTAAACCCCCAAGGAACGATGGAATTTAAATGATTTGTGAGGGTGGAAGACTGAGAGTTTTTTTTCTACATGACCAGTTATTTACCAGAAAAATATCAGATGCTTTATTGCAATTGTTTAATCATATTTATGGGAAATTATATTTGTTGCCCAAATGAAACCCCAGCCAACAGAGCTGAGCTCAGACACATCACAGCAGGTCGAATTTGCTCCCCCTTTCTTTGCCATGTAAGTTTGTTGCACTGAGCTATTTATTTACTCTTCCCGTGGTCATGAGTGCATTTCTGAATGAATCACAACGTTCAAAGGATTCCAGTGAATCAGTTGGTCCTTCAAGAGAAGTTCAGATGAATTCAAATGAGTCAGCC